TTGAACGGGGTGCTGGCCCTCCAGCTCGGTCCAGCTGGGTCCCGCAGAGCCGCTTCTTCGGTCCCGCTCGGCACTGGGCACACTGTGGTGCAAGCTGGCCAACGATTACCTGTAGATGTTGCAGGTGGCATGCGTCGACGAACGTTGAACGTCGTCCTCCTCCTCCCCCCGTTTTGCATGCCGGCCACTTCGCTTCGTAGTGCCCCCGCCACGCTGGACAGGATTGCCCCGCCTCGCCGCCGGCGAAAAAGAACATCGACGAACGTGCCGCATTTGTCTCGTCAGCGCTTGCGAAGAGTGGTTCCTCGGACGGGCCAGGGCATAGTCAACTTGCCCTTGCATCCTTCCCCGTCGGCCCATCCTTGGCCGCTTTCGCTGGTCGCGCCCCGCTCGCAAAGTGTCGACATGGCCTTCCGAGGCCATTGCATCCTTATCGTGCGTCCTCAGAGCACGGGATGGCTGTAGGCTGGCGCGCTTGTTGGAGGGGCCTGCTCCGAAGCGTAACGTGTCGTTGGGGCCAGTCTTTCCCGCCACCGTCGCTTCTCTCACGAATTATTTGTCGTGGATCCCCCCGCATCTCTAGCATGCCGCCTGCGTAACATAATATCAATCATCATCACCATCATTACCATCATTACCATCATATCATCATCATCATCATCATCATCATCATCATCATCAGCATCGCTCTCACCATCATCATCATCATCATTATCATCATCATCATCATCGTCATCATCATCATCACCATCATCTTCATCATCATCATCACCATCATCAACACCATCAGCATCATCATCAACGCCAGCAGTATCTTCATTATCACCATCATCATCAACAGCATCATCATGATCAGCATCATCATCATCAGCAGCATCATCACCATCTCCGCCATCACCATCATCACCACCACCACCATCATCATCATCATCATCAGCATACTTCTCAACATTACATGGGACGTGCTCATCGGGAGTTCGAGGATGGTTGGCACCAGTCGTGGACAACTCGTCAAGTCTTTGAATAGAGGTCCATGGCCCCCACATCGATCGAGCTGCTCGTGCGTCGGCTTTCCTGGTGGCAACAGATCGTCGCGGATCCAGTCCACCACTCGCATTTCCTCGCCGCGATGTTTGGACAGTGCACGTTTGAGCAGACAATCGGACGGGGACTCGTTGCCAAGTCTATTGCCGATGACGGCCGCTTGAGCACGGACCCCAGAGCACATCCTTGGCTTACGCAACTGAGGGAGGCTCTCGAGTCCCTCCTCCAGCACCCCGTGGGCGAGAGCCTCCAGGTGGAATGGGACCCCCCTGTGGTCACGGACTTGTTTCGCAATGAACATGCATCGGCTGCGTTTCGAGCGTGTGACCCTCGTGTTTTACGGTCCTCATTCCTCTCGAAGTCGTAGGCTCCGCCAGAGAATTCTCTTGCCGCTCAGCTCCTCCCTCGAGACGATACCATCCAGGACGACTCAAACGACGACGAGATGTTGTCGATCTGCGGGCTGCATGGGTGCACTATGATATCCGACACTCTACATAAGCTTGCTATACACCAGGTGCACTCTCAGGCTCCAGGGCACGGCTGGCCCCCGATCCTCACCACGGTTACCCTGGACAACCAAAGCTTGTATGCCGCACAGTGTTTTCGAGCGTCGAGCATACAGTCCTGCGCCATCGTCGATCCTGGCGCCAGGCGCGGTGTCTTCCCAACCAGACTAGACGTACCTGCCAATGGAAACCTACCGAGACACGTCTATGCCCGTACTCCCAGGTCTCTGAGAACCACCAGTGCCATGCCCCCTTCGAGAGTATGGAGTTGTTTCGGGAGCATCTCGTCGCGCACATCCCTCCGCTGTCCTTTGGCTCTTGGTCGCAGCCTCGCGCGCCTGTGGCGCGTACCCCTGCCAGTGCTTCGACAACAGCAAGTGCGTCGCGGCCTACGTGGAAACTTTCTGACATCGCCAGTGCTCGACAAGAGGTGCAGCGCGCCTCTCAACTTCTGCTCACCCGACCGCCTCCGAGTTCTGTGGGACTCCCCCCGCCTGCCCCGCGCCCGACCTGCTACTAGGCTTGCGACCTCGTCGGCGGCAGCACCCTCGGCCCCAGGACCAGCACGCGCGTTGGCTACACCATCACTCCTTGTGCTACCTGACGCAGCTCCCGTCGGCGACGATGGCATCCGCAGCCCGAGCTTCGTGGCGCCTCCCGAGATCCCCAGCGGGGCCTGGCAGTGGTGGCAGGCAAAGCGAGCAGAGCGAGCCGCGCGAGCCGCGCGCGAAGGCGCCTCGGGCGACGGGCGGAGCCCGCGGCTCGGCTCCAGCGGCAGCGGAGGCCGCGGAGGCAGCGGAGCCCCCTGCGGAGGAGCCCGACGCCGCGGCGGCAGGCGCCGCCGAGGCAATCACTCGGACAAGAACTGGACCTCGAAGGACAAGAACCTGGCGGAGTTCCTCCTCGTCCTCGCGAAGCTGGTCTTGCAGGCGACGCATCGGACACGG